ACTTCGGCTTCAAGAACGTATCGCTTGGCAACATCCTCTCTGCAAAAGCACCAAACGAGGCTGTTCCCTTCATAAAAGACAAAGACCTGGCCACGTACCAAAAGTACCGAGACCCTGCCTTCGAGGTTCAAGTCGGCCTCCACGAGCTGCTAGGCCATGGTTGTGGTAAGCTTCTTCAAGAGACGGAGCCAGGCGTCTTCAACTTCGACAAAGAGAACCCTCCAATCTCACCACTAAGCGGCCAGCCGATAAAGTCTTGGTACAAGCCAGGCCAGACTTGGGGATCAACATTCGGCACCATCGCTGCTTCCTACGAGGAGTGCCGTGCCGAATGCGTCGCCATGGCGCTCTCTTGCGAATTCCCCATCTTGCAACTGTTCGGTTTTGGTGACGGCAAGGCCGACATGAACAGTGAGGCCGGCGACGTTCTCTTCACAGCATACCTTCAGATGGCCCGCGCTGGTATCGCAGCTCTAGAGTTCTGGGATCCCAAGAGCAGGAAGTGGGGTCAAGCCCACATGCAAGCTCGCTTCTCCATCTTGCGCACATTCCTCAATGCCGGTGTCGAGTTCTGCCAGCTGGAATGGGAAAAAGACGATCTCTCCGACCTGACCATCCGCCTTGAGCGTGATCGTATTCTGGATCTAGGTCGCCCTGCCGTAAATGACTACCTCCAGAAGCTGCACATTTACAAGGCCACTGCAGACTACGCAGCTGGTAAGAGGATGTACGACGAGATCACCACTGTTGAGCCCTTCTACGAGAACATGGTCAGGCCGGCCGTGCTTAAGAAGAAGACACCCAGGAAGGTCTTCGTCCAGGCAAACACTGTCGAGAAGGACGGCAAGATCGACTTGGTTGAGTACGACGCGACCAACAAGGGCATGATCCAGAGCTGTGCGGACAGAGAGTACGTATGAGCATGGACGGTCTCGATGCATAAGAGCGGAGTATGGGTGGTTATGACTACATGCAATACAAGCCATTACGATGTTATGAAAAATCAAACACACGAAGAGTCGCAGCTGTTCAAAGTCACGATTACTCAACTCGTCGTCCGAACACTCGGTAGCCATGTGGAAGTGGGTTACGGACATTTAAATCCACTTTGTAGTCTCCATCCATCGCGTCCTGTCATCTAAATGTCCGACGAGCTACGCGCGTGAATATTCTTCCGACATTTGACAGGTGCGGATAGCAGCTTCCGTGCATGAGAGTCGCAAAGCAAGCGGATACGGTTGCTGCTCCCGGGGCAACCTTGGATCATTTGCAATATCACATTGTCAAAGACGGGTTTTCTGTTCCGTGAATCAGACATGCATAGATGGGTATGGCTGGAATACTGGCAACTCAAACACCGACATGTCCATGACCGGGCAAAACATTGCCGAGATGTGCTTGGTGTGCTTGTAGCGCCGGCATATGCTACGCTAGCGCAGGTCTACCAAAGTGCGGAGAGACGAAACGTGCTAGCCCAGGGTCTGCCATCCGCCCTACCCGTTCCGAAGAGAACGCCGAGGTCTGCATTATTCTTCCACCGCTCAAGCGCTATCTCTATATGAAGCCAGATCAACTGACCAGCGATTAGCTCGAGGCTGATGGCGAAAAGATGAGCGACTAGGGTACGATCTAACAGCAGTGTGGTGTAGTCATTCGGTCCGACAAGGAATACACGTTCATGGACTACACGTGCGAACACCTGAGCAGACACCGTCAACACCTGAGTCGCGCGATTAGGAACGTCCGGTAACAATGGTCCCACATCTATTTCCAAGAGCAGGATCCATCAGGGCTCGAGCGCGACAGCCGAGATGATGCAACTTCCAGAAGCAGGGCAAACATGTCCACGGTCCCTGGCACAACGGTAGCATACCGGCAACAGTACCTGAAGAGAACGAGATTGCAGGGATCTGGATAGCTGTCAAACTACTCACAGTCCCTGTGGCGTTCTTGACTGCGCGCCGCTGTCATTTGGGGCGTGCGTTAGCGCCATGAGCTGGTGCTTTACCATGCCCCTATCATCACCAAGCGCTGGTCCTTCCGCGCTGCTAATGGAGGAAATCAACACTAAGACGCAGAAACTACTCTCCTCAACATCAGAGGTATCTCGATGCCGGCATGGTTGCCGAGTATCCTTCCAGAGGGGTACCCTTCTGACTAACATGGGAATTGCTTTTAAAGAGCTGATGTGCCACCGGTAAAGGACTATCTACAGTATCAAGCCACTCTTTCTACTTATCAAGCCTTTGTCTTGCTTCAGGAAAGCATCGTTCATTCGTATATCACTATGAAGTTTTCTATTCTTGCGCTCGCAGGCGCGTACACAGCCAGTGCCGCCGTTCTTGGAGAGAGGCAATCATACGGAGTCAAAGGCACACCTGAAGGCTTCGGAAGAGGTACTACGGGAGGTGGCAATGCAGCCTGTGTTGTACCTTCTTCAGTAGCCCAACTGAAGACCTGGCTCAGCGACAGCACTGCCCGGTGTATCGTACTCGACCGAGAGTTCAACTTCAAGGGTACTGAGGGGACCACAACAGCCACCGGCTGCCGTCCCGCATCCAACAAATGCCCTGGCAACGGAGGACAAGACGCCATCAACTCTGCCAACTGGTGTGACAACGGGAACGCTGGAGCAGGCGCCACGTCTGTCCAGGTCAAATACGACAATGCCGGTGTAACTGCCATCAACATGGGCTCCAACAAGTCCCTCATCGGTGTTGGCAACAAGGGTGTCATCCGTGGCAAAGGTCTCCGCATCGCCAACGGAGCACAGAACATCATCATCCAAAACATCCACATCACCGAGCTCAACCCACAGTACATCTGGGGCGGCGACGCCATCACCCTCGATAAGTCTGACCTCGTCTGGATCGGTACGTCCACTCCCTCTCATCCTAACCCCTCCCGTGTCTAACAACCCCTCCAGACCACGTCAAAATCTCCCTCATCGGCCGTCAAATGTTCGTAGCCGGCTACGGCGCCTCCGGCCGCGTGACAATCAGCAACACAGAATTCGACGGCAGCACCTCCTGGTCCGCCTCCTGCGACGGCCGCCACTACTGGAGCATCCTCCTCCTCGGCGGCAGCGATCTCATCACCATGAAGGGCAACTACATCCACCACACTTCTGGCCGCAGCCCTAAAGTAGGTGGACAGGGAAACACGCTGCTCCATGCGGTGAACAACTACTTCTACAGCAACACGGGTCATGCGTTTGATATTGAAGCTGGCGGCATGGTTGTTGCTGAGGGAAACGTATTTCAGAATGTCAACACGCCCCTGCTTAATAATAAGGGACAGCTTTTCTCGGCGCCTTCGACGGGCGCGAATGGTGTATGCCAGACTTATCTTGGACACACTTGCCAACTTAACTCGTTTGGAAGCAGTGGAAGCTTTAGCGGTACTCAGACGGATTTCTTGGTCAACTTCCAGGGAAAGACTGTTGCGGGTGCTTCGGCGGCGAGCTCGAATGTTGCTAACACTGCTGGTGTTGGTAAGATCTAGAGTGGGTTGACAGGGGCTGGGTCGAGTTGGAGGTGTGCGCAAAGCATGAGGCCTTTGCGAGTCGGAAGGCGACACGATTTATCTTCTCTGTATCTACTTTACCTTTATCGAATATGTACATACATTTCACAATGCAACAGCTAGTTGCAACATCCACCAAATCTCCCACTCTCACTCCCCTCCAAAAACCTCCCTAAAAGCCTCCAAATTCCTCATCCCAGCCGGCCCCTTCGCATAAACCGCAAAATCCACACTCTCAAACCACCCCTCAAACTCCTCCTCCCCCAACACGCCCTTCATCTCCTTCGCCACAGCCCTAGGCGGACACCCATAAGCGCCACAACCCATAGCCCCAAGTACCAACCTCCCCACACCCTCCTGTGCCGCCATCCTCAACACCAACCTAACCTTCTCCCGCACCTCTTCAACAACGCTCTCCTCCTTAAACACCACCTCCCCCTCCGCCCCCATCACAACAACAGGAAACCGCGGCCCCGCAACCGTCATAACAGCAACCACAACCCGCCGATCCTCCGGTACCTCAACAAGCCCATTATCTAGCGTATCCCTAAACACAACGACGTCGGGCGACATAACACCAGCCACACACCCCGGCCCCGTATTAGCCCACGGATACCATTCCGGTTTCAACGTCGCATACAACGTGGATGAATAACACAGGGCCTCTTCCTGCGTGGAAGATAGGGTGAAGCGCCAGCCGCCGCCGGGTTCGGCGTCGGAGGCTAGGTTTAAGATGCCGATTTTGGAGTTGGAGTTGCTGGGGAGGGAGCGCGCGAGGGCGAAGGCGTCGCTATTGTGGATTTTTGGAGAGGGGAGTGTGGGGTGGGATGGGTATGTGGGGTGTGTTTTTGATAATGGGGGTAGTTGGGATGAGATGAAGTAGCTGGTTAGGGAGCCGGAAGGTGTTGAGGCTGCGATGGAGGACGAGCGGGTTATTGTGTCTTCGCAGATGCGGCGGCGGGTTGCTAGGTCGAGCATTTTGGGGGGTTTGTTTGAGGTGTTTCCCCGGCTCATTGTTTTTGGTGTTTTCTTGATGAAGTTTTGAGATGGTTTTGCTCAATGCTGGGAAGTGACTTGGATCAGTACCTAGGTAGGCAGCAGTTTTGGAACTCGTGGCGGTGCAATGTGGCGCAGTTACCGATCGGGTTGCGACTGTTGACGGAACCTTCCTTCCAACACTCCATCGGGCTTTTGTCATGACACATCTACGAAGGGAATGAGCAGGACGGGTGCGCTGTGCAGATGCCTGCTCAATATCAGCCGAATGCTTCTGACCGGTACATGGGAATTGCACCGCCACTTTGAACCAGCTTGACAAAGTCTCACAGCCACCACGGCTATGATCATATAACTGTACTACGTCCGAACAGTCGAGCCCAAAGATCATCTTATCATCAAGTCGGGATATCTATACATGCATTTTTGAAGACAACCGCCGCTCACTACTCAATCTCGAATCCCGACCTCTTCTCGAGATGGACACACAACAACCATCCAGCACCCGCCCCTTCCTCACCCTCTTCCCCCGGGAAATCCGCGACGAAATCTACACCCACCTCCTCACCTCCCTGCCCCAAAGACTACAATACGCCCAACCCAGCGACCCCTCCCCTTTACCACCCCTCAGCTCGCGCCTTCCACCCTACCTACGCCTAAACCGCCAGATCAACCAAGAAGCCACCGAGGTATATCTGCGCCACACCACTATCGCTGTCAACGACGTAATCAACCTGGAACTATGGATGGTCGGCATGCCATCCAGCGCATGGAGCTGTATCCAGCACCTCGAAATAGGGACTGTGCGGGAGACTGCGCATGTACCGCGGCTGAGCCCTGTTTGGTATCGTGCTGGAAGTGTTGTTGATGTGGTGAAGAGATGTCCCGGCCTGAAAGGTCTTACTGTTGGTGTTCCGGGAAGTATGTTTTTGAAGAAGCAGATGAAGGATGAGGAGTCGCAGGGCGAGAAGACGTCGCGTTTGGTTAATGAAGCGACGTTTGGGGATATGGCGGTACTTGCAGACATGGTGGGTTCTACGAGGCTGCAGAAATTGGAGTTGGTGTGCGTTGATGGTAATGAGTACTACTACGCCGATCTCGAGGACAGCGATGTGAAGCCGAATAAGAGTCCGACTTGGACTGCTTTGAGGGACGCGGCTCAGATTTGGGCTGAGGACTTTGTTGAAAAGAGCAGGATGAAGGGAAGTAACGTTGATGTACAGGTCAAGATTATTCCGAACTTGGGGTGGTCATGGAGGGATGAGATGTGCTTTTGGCCGAAGGGACGTGTCACATCCTTTCAGTATCTTTGCTGGTTTGGGTAAGAGTTTGACTAGGAGACTGGGGTTGGCGTAGCTGGCTGTTGCGTTTGAGTGTCGGCCCAAGATATGATGATGTAGTAGAATGCGACAAGTAGTTCATTCTGGTGCTCCTCCGTATGTACTAGTAAAGTGACCGTCCATATGTTCCATTCCACCGACTTGTGCTCCCCAAAGTACGTTTGAGAGACTTCCCATCGCAATGATTCTCCGAGTGGTTGCAACCGCTCTACCCGCGCCAGCAAGTGGCGGATTTGGCAGGTTGATACAGCTTCCCTCCGGGAGCAGGTAGACCTGAAAATCCCCCGATCTGCCCTACGCATTTTTTCTCCCTAGCACGCATGTTCGTTAGTGACTGGCGTGTAGGGACTTTGCAAAGTAGTGCGGAGCATCATCGCAACGTACCTGTAGAATCGACATCTAAAGCCAGCGTATATCTGCGCTCGATCGACGGCCCCCATAAAGCTTTCCGAACAACCGCCATTGGCGCGGAGAAGGTTTCTGTAAATCACATTTGTTCCGTATGGGGATTGCCAAAGAACGTAGCCTGCCTCTTCAGAGCCAATTTGCAGATTCATAGCCTCTGATAGTTCCATTGGAGCATCGCTGGTAGGAGCACAGTTGACCAGAAAGGGAAGAGCAATGAGTGAGAAGACGGCAGTGAGACGCATGACTGGTACTTGTGTAGAGTCAAAGTATTTAGCCGGGTGAAGAGTGTTGGTGTAGAACAGGAGGGAGCGCTTGGAATGTTGGATGAAACTGTGTGTAACGACAGAGAGAAGACCGCTTATATATGCGATAGAGAGATGGAGACAGGAGCCCTTGGAAGGCCTGAGCGAGAGATCGCGAGCGAGAGATGGTCATGCTACCATGCGTGAACACGGCGCGGTCTGGTCCTTCTATTGTGTACCAACGAATAGGCACGCCCTTACTCTCGAGGTTATGTTGGATTTGAGCAAGCCCTAGTATACCAAGAACTGCGAATTGGGTGATATGGTCTTCGCGTAGGTCTCTTATTGTGTATTTATCCACAGCGGCACACTACAGACCAATACAAGATCCTGCCTATGCGATGCTAGATCTGCAGACTCCTTGATGTATATCTGGTATCTGCCATTCCTGTTGGCAGTTCGTGATTCTCGTGTATGAGGTATAAACAGCTGAGCTGTACCATTGAGGTACTACGAGAACAAATGGAGAGATTTAAGCGCAATCTAGATCTACTGTAAAGAATAGTTCTGCCAAAGTTATGGCTGTAAGAACATCCAATGAGCAGTCGCCATTAGCGAATAACTCACAGATGGGATCGTACCGGCACTCCTTACTCCGGCTATATCCCCTAGACTTTGACAGGGTAGCGGGTTTGTGTTGGCCGGCAGACTGGAACCCAGTAGTGCTCATGTGACGAGGAAGAGAGCAGATAGAGGCACAGACTCATTACTGCAAATACCTTGCGATGCCTAGAGAGATGAGCCTGTGCTGCTGAACAGTAACAAAGAGAATCGCGGCTTGGATAGAGTGGCAGCGGTCGTTTGGATAAAGGAAGCGAGGAGTAAGGAAATTGCCGTCATGTAGTTGTGTGGCGTGGTTTGCGAGCATGTAACGTGACTCAGAACTACCATCAAGACTACTCTGTAAACATCTCGTGAGTTCAGTTGAATCCTACATCATAGCCCAGCCCCCGAACATCTAAACTACCCATGCCAACACGTCGCCGATCTCGCAGGTTGATAGAGATCTCCTCCCGGAGACGGCAACCCTTCAACCCCACCAATCCTTCCTTTGCAGTTGTCCTCGCTGTTAAGCGATAGATTAGCATACAATCTCGAACGAAAGAGCTTTGTGTCTTGTGATGATAGAGTAGTGGAGCAAGTGACAACGTACCGAAAGAACCGACATCTATATCCATCATATATCTTGACTCTTGTGACAGGTCCACCAAAGTTTGGCGAACATCCGCCGTTGACATAAAGATAATGAACGCTGAAGGTGTTGGGAAAGATGCCTGCTATGGCAGCCTGCTGCGCGGCTGTGCCTTGGTTGGTGGGCAGACCGTTGGCGATCATTGGCAGGGCGATGAGGGAGAGGAGTGGGAGGGTGGGTAGACGCATGATCGAACTGTTTGTAGGATGAGGATCTCGAGGAGGAGGAGAAGATGCGTAAGAGCAAACTTGAACTATTGGGCGCGGACGAGGTTTTGTGTGGTAGGAATGGTAGATATAGGTAAAGAGGAAGAGCAGATGGTTTTATATAGAGAAAAGGAAGGGAGTAATGACGCAAAGAAGAGTGAACAAAGAGTTTACCCTCATGCATGAATACGGCACAGTCTACTCCATTTTATATGAATGATCGAGCCAGCACATGCATGCATATGTTAGTCGTAAGGATCATTGACATGCCGCATTCTTCGGACGGGTCGGATGCACCTGTTCGATTCGACTGTGATCACAACCTCGTCTGCGGTGAAACCAGAAGAAATGCAGCGAGGTGAAGCACCTGGATAGACCATACAGGTAGATGTCGTAAAATCTTCGATACTACTTGCAGGGTCATTGGGCAGCGATTGGTATTCGTATCAGACATTCGAAGTGTGGAATGTAGCGTCTGCAGCTGTATCTACCTTACATATCCGCGGCTTTCTTTGGCAAAGTCTCCGGTTAAAAGCGGGTCTGAAAGCTTTTGATGGGTAGAACAAGGGGAATTTGTGCGTATATTAAGTGCCGCTTGGTGCACATGCGTGCTCGGAGGATGAACAATCTTTGTTGTGCATGCAGATGCTGGACACTGCGTACAACGGTAGCGGTTAAATCGTCGCATTCAAAGATATCGATGGGAAGAACAACCCGCCCGGAACCTGATGTTTGGTCAGTATCGATTGAATTCTACTAAAGAGCCTGGAGGTAAGCCGCGATCTGATCAAGTGATTATTGTGAGCTCGTCATGAGTCCAACGTTGCTGTGCCTACCTAGGTAGGTAGCTACGATGGCGGGGTCAAGGTTACGGTCCTGCCCCACCCAACTGCACTTGCACCCTGGAGGGGTTCAACGGTGCCTCTTTCCTACATGTTCGAGATGACGTGCATATGTGATCCTACGTAGATAAATTGGCCTTTGAGTGCTTTTGACTTGTCTCTCATCTCAGCACTGCTTCTCGATTGGGAAGGTAGGTGCGTATCTACGTCATCGCGATAGTTGTGTTCCTGCATTGTGCTGTGGTGAGACTGTATGTTACTGGACGCGTTCAGTCGTATCGATACTCTGAGTCATCCGTTGTGACGTCCAGGTAGTGATGGGATAACCTTCAGTACTTGTAGAGCGTGTCGCATCCTCTGCGAAATCTTCGTGACTGGCCTCAGACGATATTGATCGCGCTGCTGGATAACTACTTTTTCCCCACCATGCCACTCCAAATCCACCCAATGGCCACTGACGATACGTTGTCTTGGACACGTGTGCGCGCACTCGCCTACTACGGTCCGACGCACGACCTCCTACACACCGGCCCCATCAGCGAAACATCTATACGCGGTGTGGCTGAAGACCGCAAACGCGAAATCAACAAGCCAAACGCGTGGCACTGGAAAGTCGTAGACACAGATCTCGAGCCTAGTTCTGACGACCCACCTGACAACGGCGGACGCACGATAGCCGTGTCAGTATGGAGTTTGCACAACGTCTCAGTGACCAAAGGGGATGAGAAGAACGAAGCACCTTCCATTCCGGTCGAGAAAGCAGATGACACTCCTGGTTTCCTCCCACCAGAACTGCGTCTTGAAGCTCTGGGTTCGTTGCTCGGTCCTCTACGAGCCGCTCAGGCTTCCATCATGGGCACATCGACGCCGTACTTTATGCTGAATTCACTGGCCACGCATCCGGATCATCAGGGTCGCGGAGCTGCGAAGATGATGCTGGACTGGGGGATGCAGAAGGCGGATGAAGAGGGGCTGATCACGTATTTGGATTCCACGATGACCGGGAGGCCCGTGTATGAGCGGAGAGGGTTTGCGCTGGTGAAGACGCTTGAGTGGGATCGAGTGCCGTGGGGAGGAGAGGGTAAGGACTGGCATGGGTGCATGGCTCGGCCAGCGAAGAGCGTGGAGAAGTAGTCGTGTTGTGGAAATACATAGCAGAGATGAGAATGCAGGGCGTACCAGGTCGGTGGATAGCCGGCTAGCCGCCCGAAGAGCCGTAGAGCGAATGCGAACGCCCGGCTCGTGGGCTGTCAGACCCCGCAGCCTGCGCCCACGTTGCCGGGAAGCCAGCTGGGACGGTAGAGCGTGCAGATGTCTTTGCAGTTGGCCGTTGAATTTCTCCAGTACTATTCCATAAAATTGTGTCCATGATGAGCCCGGCGGTGACGTATCCATTCCTCTCCAGAAAGCAGCGGGCGCGGCTGGGAACGAGCGCAGGCACTTGCAGCCTTCTCCGCGCCTGATGGCCCAGCCCTGGTAAGAATCCCGGGCGGCGCGGGTTGCAGTGGTCGACCATGATGCACTGGGCAGGGGACATGAGCCCGCCTGGAATCCTCCTACCAAGCCGCCTCAACCCATAACATCATAACATAGCCCCCCGTAGCAGATACTACCACATTTAATCGCCGCCCGCATGTCCGCGCAGGGCTAATCTTGGGCATGGGACGCAACGCGCGGAAGCGTATCTCGTACGGTAAGTGTCGGCTGCTGCATGCGCCGTCGCGACAAGCTGAGCTGGAGCTGGAGCTGGAGCTGACCTGGGCGCGCAGTGCTGCCACTGGCCAACTCGGCGGGCGGCCACAGGCTGGGAGTCAATGGCTTGGCCGTCGACCCCCAGAACTCGATCCTCTACTCGGGCGGCCGTGATGGCGTAATCTGCGCCTGGGACCTGCATCTCGACCTCGACCACTCCACCACCGACGACGACGACCCCTTCGCCGACTCCAACACGACCGACTCCAAGCCCCCGCCCACGCAGTTCCGCAACCAGGTCCAGGCCCACACCCACTGGATCAACGACATCGTCCTCGCCCAGAACAACGACGCCCTCGTCTCCGCCTCCTCCGACATCACCGTCAAGGTATGGCGACCCGCTGCCACCGACAAGCTGCCCCCGCAGACGATTGGCCTGCACACCGACTACGTCAAGCGCGTCGCATCGCCGGGCGGCAACGAGAACTGGGTAGCTTCGGGCGGCCTCGACCGCAAGATCAGCCTGTGGGACCTCAATGGCGCGGGCAAGAAGCTGGAGATTGCTGTCGGCGAGGATGAGAACACCGCCAAGGGCTCTGTATACGCCCTGGCAGCAACACCCAACCTCATCGCTAGTGGCGGGCCGGAGAGCATCGTCCGCGTGTGGGACGCGAGGTCGGGCAAGCGCATCACCAAGTTTGTCGGACACACGGACAATGTGCGCGATATCCTCCTGGCGCAGGACGGCGACATGATCCTGACGGGCTCGTCCGATCAGACGGTCAAGGTGTGGTCCATGACGGCAGGCCGCTGCATGTACACGCTTACTATGCACAACGACAGCGTCTGGTCTCTGCACTCCGACTCGCCTGAACTCGACGTCTTCTACTCTTCCGACCGCTCTGGCATAGTCGCCAAAAGTGATGTGCGCAACTGCGCCGAGATGGACGAAGGTCTCTCGCTGGCAGTGTGTCAGGAGCACGAGGGTGTGAACAAGGTTGTCGCAGCTGGCGACTATATCTGGACTGCAACCTCCAGCTCGAGCATCAACCGGTGGAACGACGTGGAAACCGCGGCCGAGGTCGAGCTTCCAGAATCCTACAAGTGGCATAGGAACAGCGTGTCGACTATGCGATCGCGCATTCCTTCGCCTCCCGCTGGCAGCCCTCCGAAGAACGAAACGTCCAAGATTCCGCTCAAGTCTCTACTGCGCATGTCCAATACTGCGCCATTCCCGCAAGCGCTTGCGACCAAGGATGCCGATACCTCAACTCTAGCCAGCACGCGCAAACCCTCCGAAGTACTAGCGGCTCCCGAACACAGTGCTGTTGGGACTGTCCGGGCACTACCAGACTTTACAATCGAAGGCCAGAACGGTCTCATCAAGCATCATTTGCTCAACGATCGGCGAAGAGTCCTCACCCTCGACACTGCGGGAGAGGTGGTTCTATGGGATCTACTGCAGTGCGCACCCATCAAGTCATACGGCAAGAAGCACATGGAGGACGTCGTGCCAGAAGTTAACACCGTAGACACCGTCGCCCACTGGTGCGCTGTCGATACAAGGATAGGGACCTTGACGTGCATGCTCGAAGAGAACTACTGCTTCGATGCCGAGACATACGCAGATGAGCTGGAGCTAGAGGAGCAGATTGACTTCCGGGAAGACCATCGCATAAACCTTGGCAAATGGATATTACGATACCTGTTCTCGAACCTCATCGATGAGGAGATCAAGCGCGATGAGGTCCTGCGCGCAGAGCTGCTCAAACAGAAGGAAGAACAACCTCAGCCGGGTCGCCCGACAAACATCGAGCTACCGAACATGAACATCAATGGATGGACGGATGCGACCTCAGGGCCTGCTTCAGGCTCGACTATCAGAGCTGACGGAATGCGCCTACCACACACACCAGGTCTGGCTATCGGGTTAGCCACGCCAATGGCAGCACCTATGAGTGCAGGGCGCAACTCTACCACCAACCCCTTGACTCCAACCAAGGAAGAGGGCGCACAACTGGAGAAGACGCAAACCCAACGGAGCTCGACTCAGGAAGGCGGCGACTACTTTGGTTCTGCCTCTGCTGCTAACGGCAACGGAAGTGGAAAAGCCACCGAGGCTTCGAAAGACGGCTCTGCGGACTCAAAAGAGGAGACTGTCCAATCACCTACCGAGGCCGACACGCCAGCTAAGAAGGGCAAAGGCATGTTTGGTAAGAAGTTTAACATGGGCTTTAGCATGAAGAAGTTCAGCACTGGCACAGCCGCTCCAGAGCCAGCCAAACCCGCCGTTGACGAAAAGGCCGAGGACAGCGATGCACACTCCAACAAGACGGATGAGAAGACCATTGAAGATAATTTCTTCGGCGCTCTTCAACGGATACGGCAGGGTTACGAGGAACAGCTTGCGGCCGGCGCGACCAAGCTGGACACACAGATTGCACCCAGTCTGCCCAACGAAACACCCGTACTCAAACCACCTGCTATGACCACCATTCTGATTCAGGAGGACCGCCCCGACTCCGGCGGTGTAGCCGACCTGTTCGAGGGCAAAGTCGGAACCCTAGGTACCCAAGCCGACCTCATCGAAAAAGCCGCACCAATGTGGCTAGCAGAAGTCCTACTACGAGTTCGTCACCCCATACATAAAAAACGTCCTTCTTCACTAACCATCCCCCACAGAACCAACTCCCGCCCAAAGACATTGTCAAAGTGTCCTTCGTACTGGAACCGTTTAACAACACGCTCCCCTCCATCTCATCCGACGGGTACATTCCCTTTGCCCTCCCCTTCGAAACCGCCGCCAGCGCTAACGCGACTCTCAGTAACAACCGCCTGAATGCAAATAGAATGTTGCGCGCACGCAAGATACTGGGTTATGTGGCTGAGCGCATTGAACCTGCGCCCACTAAGGAGGATCTCGAGAAGTCAGCGGAGAGTGGCGGCGTGCTTAAGCCGGATGAGTATTTGGAGTTGTATTGTAATAATCAGGTGAGTCTTCCGGTGATGTTTTGTTTGTGGGTGGTTGAAGGTACATGCTAACCCTTTTATCAATAGTTAATCCCCCCAACCATGACACTCGCTAGTATACGCGCACACATCTGGCGTGGCGGAGGCGACGTCCTCCTTCTCTACAAAGCCAATGGGCGCAAGGAAATTAGACATGCGCCTTACCCTGGTCCGCAATCTGGTGCACCTCCCGGTCCTATGCATGGATTGAAGGTGGGTGCGGGGTTGAACTCGCAGCCTGGAAGTAGTAATGCGAGTGAGGGGAAGCAGAGCAGTGAGGCGGATAGGAGTACTAAGGATGCCGCGGTTTTTGGACCGTAGGTTGTGTTTGGTTTGGTTTGGAGTGGTTTGGTTCGAGAGATTTGGATATGGAAGGGGGTAGGGTGGCTGGCTGTGTTGCAGCTCAGTTGGAGACATTGGTATTGTTCTTTTGATAAAGACTAGAGGGGTTGAATAGTGTATATAGCATACCCGCTCGCCAGTAGACTCTTCCATGAGTCCGTGGCCTCGGCCTCATGCGGCTGAGTAGGATGAACTTAATCCTATACTCTCATTATTGTTGTTCCCTCCTCCACCCTTTCCTCCAAAAACATCAGCATGATCAACCATGCCACTCACAGCTCACTCCTCAACCACACCCCCCAACGCATTACTCGCCCACTGATAACTCCCCAAGAAAATCGCTCCCCCAACACTAATCCAACCCACCCTCGGCCCCATCCCCGCGAAAAATGCCCTCGGCCCACTCTCCCTCATAATCGTCCCCAACATCTGCATCATGGGCTGTTTCTCCCTCGCAAGCATCATCCGCGTCTTAAGCACATCCAACGGCGTCGTCACCCCCGCCGCCACAGCCCCCGCCACACTCCCCAGCAAACCCCCTTCTAGACCAGTTACTTCGCTCCGCCCTGTCCGGCTCATCCGCCACTTCTTCAGCGCCTCCCAAAGCGGGAATTGGATTACGGTAAAGGGCACTTCGCGAATTATGGTTATCGACCACCCCCGGTATAGTTCCATCCAGACGTGTGCGAGACCGTGGGTGTGGCGTTGGCGGAGGATGAACGTGAGCGCGGAGAGGGAGGAGGGGTGTTGAGACGCTTGTGCGCGTTGTTTTATTACTTCTGTTGGGACGCGGACTGCACATGCTGCGACCTCGCCCGCACTCGCGGCTGCCATGTGGATGAGTGCCTCTGTCCCACTGTCTCTCGCATCTTCTTTGTACGGTTTCCCTTCTGCGTTGTATGTGATCTTCGTGGTAGGTAGGCTTTGGCTCTGGGCGAAGGTCCGTTTTATCGTGTCGTAGGTTATGAAGAAGAGGGCGGCGCCTGGTGCGGACCCGACGATTGCGCTGCCGACGCCCCGGTAGATGCCGTTGAAGCCACCGCTGGCGGCGAAGCCGGAGGCGGATTGGAGACGCGTTTTTAGGGTGTCGAGGGGGTAGAGGGATAGGTCGACTGTTGTGCCTGCTAGGCCGCCTGCCTGGGGTGGGTGTTAGTTGTGTGTGGACTTATGTGTTTGGGTTTGGGTGGGTGGATTGGTGAGTGTAGGAGACCGAGGAGATATAGAAATGCAAATGAATTGCTACTGTTCTACATAGGTTCTCGAGGACGTTTGCAGCAGTAGCTTCGCCATGGCAATGGAAGATACAGATGATGCGGTTTAAGCCGATGTCGGGAGAGGGAGAGCCATTGGAAGACAATTTTCTGAGAGGTGAAAGCTTTGATTACTTACTATGAGCGACCGCAAGTATGGCGATTCAACCCATGCTTGTGGTGGTTGTGCGCGTGAGGAGTCGAGCATGGTGGGAAAGTATTCGGCGGGCCATGACGATGATGTTCGAGATCGTTGCAGAGGGAGGAACGGAAGGTCTGTGCGCAAGCTAGTGGACTGTCTACTTCTTTCGTCCTGACTAGGCGGCTGGCTACCTTGCTCATTTTAATGTTTTCCTAATACACGAGTTACTAACGACACCGTACCTTGTTTTTTGTGTCGAACGTGGTATTCGCGGAAAGAAGATGGCGCGTTGAAAGAATGTCTGCTTCGGCTATGAATGTGAGATGTCTGGCTAGCACAAAGATTTCGAGATGTGACGCGCAAGAGGAGGAACGAGAGGAGGAGAGAGATGAAGATCGGGGTCGTGCTGAGTCAAATGAGGTGGGCGAGGCGGAGAGGGTGATGGCTAGCCGCGATAAGGCACAACAGCAGTCCAGCGAAGACGAGCCGGAAGACAAGAACAACAGTTGCCCTTCGGATAGGCAATCCTCTCGAAGATCATCGCATTCATCTTCCGAATCGGAATCGGAATCAGAAGATGGCAGCGACTCTGGTAGCTCTGATCACTCATTGGATGCCAAACCGTACACGAGCTGCATACAAGAAGCCCAGCTTTCATCAGATGGTAGCTGCGTCTTCACATCAGATTACAGTCGTCAATTCTCTGTATATCCCGTCTCGAACGACATTCTGACACAAAACAACCCTCAACCTCTCACGCCCTACGCGTCTCTTCGCTCTGCCGATCCAATCTGGGCTTTTGCTGTCAACCCTCTTTTCAATTTACAGGATGCTAGCAGCACGACTGTGCTGATCAGTCGACGAGATGCCTACATCAACCTGCACAACGCATTGTGGCCTACCTCGCAGAAACACAGCGAAGATACTCAGACCCCAGGAAGAGTAGATATATCCACCCCTCTAGCATCCTACAAACTCATCAACAGCCTAACTGAAGCCGTCATCGCACCTCTCAGCCTGGCCTACTCCAGCACCGCCACGCATTTCTTCGCGGGTTCCAAAGACGAAATCGCCATCTTCGACCTCCTCGAGACCGATAAACCAATCCACACAATCCGCACCATCCCCGCCAAGCGCAACAAGCTCAAAGGCGGAGGCCGCGGCTTCAAAGGCCAGATTTCTGCTCTGTCCCTCTCACCTCCCTCCCACAGTTCGCACGACGGCATCCTAGCAGCCGGCTCCCGCACCCGCTACATCGGCATCTACGACCCCATCGGCGGCACCGAAGTGACGCATTTCTCCCTCCCAGGCACGATAAACGGCATCAAGTTTCGCAACGAGAATCTTCAAAGCGTTATGGGCGATGGTGTCACGTCACTCAAATGGAGCCCCTGCGGCAAATATCTCTACGTCGCTGAGCGCAGTTCAGACGTGCTCCTCATCTACGACGTCCGTAACTTTTCGCTCGCGCTGGGGTACTGTGCAGGGAGACAAGCGCTCACTCGTCAGAAATTGGGCTTTGATGTTTGGAATGCGGGACAGGGCCCGTATGACGTTGAGGGGGTATCGCATGAGGTTTGGGCAGGTGGGACAGATGGGAAGATGAGAGTTTGGAGGGATCCGTACAGGAGGGAAGGAGCTGTACAGGCTGATGAGGTGGTTGAGGTGGGTGATGCGAAGATGCCGGTTGTGGGGAGTCTTGTACATGCTTCGGGGAGTTTGGCGTTTGCGGCTTGTGGGAGGGTTGGGTTGGGTGAGGAGATGGATGGTGAGGCGGAGGAGAAAGGTATGAAGAGGGGTGGGGATGTGAGGCCTGTGGTGAGGGAATGGGGAAATTTGGATATACTGGGGTTGGGCTAAGATAACTTAGGTTTTGGATTGCAGTAAGAGTACTTCTTCTCATCATATCACAGAAACTCACTATATGCTAAATAGGTGATGGATTGAAGTCTGCAGAGGTCTTGACCATATATGCATTACTGGTGTAATGGGCGCCTACGAATCCATGTTATCGATCCCACAGCTATAACGCACGCCTGAGGGTGCCGTGATGCTGGAAACCAATGACAAGTGATCAGGGAGCACAATGTTTGTTTCCAGTTGTATAAGTCACGGGACAGACGGGTCCATGGTGGACCACAATCCAACCTCATGATTTTGGAGCCAAGATCGGTGGAATGGCTTGAATCCCAGAACTTTCGTTCGCGATGGCATGGACAGGCACATGGTCTAGAGACGTGACTTGTCGATTGGTGGGTACTGGTCGATACAGGGTTGGTGGCCACGCCGCTAACCGCGATCTGAAATCGATATAAGCCAGCTGTGAGATACGAACTCCATCGCTGTAGCAACATCTGTCTTCTTTGGATGCGATCAAGATACTGGTCGAAGCAAGCCACGATGTCTCGATGATTGTGAAGTCGTCTTTTCTCAACGGGTCCGAGGCACTGCTCGAAGCGGCCCAGGACGCCTTGGTAGTCTTGCATGTGTACGGTCTGTATACGATCGAGGTATTGATTGAAACGAGTCAAGACATCCCTGTGTGTTTGAACATCTGTGCTTTGGGCTGGACCGAAGTACAGGTCGAAACGTGTCATGAGATTGCGGTAGTCCTGCATGTACATGTTCTGAACAGGGCCGAAGTATTGATCCAAGCGAGCGACGGTGTCGTGATGATTTTGAATCTGAGTATCGTGTACCAGAGTAACACTTCGGCTAATGCTTTCTATGTTCTGGCTCAGGTCTCTGGTAGTCGACGCGTTGAGAATGCAAATAACGTCGAAGAGGTGTTGTTTGGCGCCATGCAGTCCTTGTCGCTCGCCGTTGATCTTCCCACGTAATGCAACGTAGCGGAAATGTTGTATTGTCTTGCTCTTATGTTGCTCAAGCTTGTCCAAATATCCTTGAATCTTTGGTAATCGTGTTTTGACGATTTCGTGTAGTACACGCTTGGCCGCGTCGATATTTGCCTGTTGTTCTCGAGGCCAATGTCGCTGAGAGAGAGTTTGGAGGAGCTTTGCAAGCGACCCCACATCCCCTAATTCGTCTCTGAGAGCAATAATCTCGTCGGACGCGTGTATGGCGGTTCTGACAAGCGCCGAGATGTGGACAGTGAATGTCGTGATAGCGATGACTGACGCTGTGAGCGAGACCGGGTCAGACATGATGCGGGCTAAGCATGCTTATTGGTGAATCATGCCGAAAGCGCCATAGTCGAGCTGATATCGTAAGAATTGGATGAAAGAGCGGACACGGGCTGATGGGTCGTCCAAACAGCGCGATACTGCTTCTTGGCTCAAAGTGCAATTTCGAATCTGCAGTGGTCTCGTTCGTGGTGGCTGTGCTGGGCGCAGGCAACAAAGGCCGCCCAAGGCTGAGAGGGTGCTGAAATGTCGACGCCGGGGACGAACTGGAGTGGGGTCGTATGCAGTTGACGTTACACGACTCCCGGCGCCGCCAATCATGCAAAGTCGTTACAGCGAAGGGCAACCAACGACGAACCCGCGCTACACTCTCGTCATAGTGTCTCTCATTCTCCGCGGCGTGGAACGCCCACCATGGTTTACTCCTATACTGCGCTACTATCGTGGTTTAAATGTTAGCACAATCTCAACAAGAAAGCAGTGTGGCAAGACTCCAAGATAAAGATTCGATTCATGGCGAACAAACCGAACATGGCATTATTCGGTGATATACATGCTAACAACCGCATACTACAGACCACTCAGACCGCCTCAGTGGTCTCAGTCTCGCCTTTCTCCTTCTTTGCGACATTGTTGATCGTGGCAAGCGCTTCTCCCTTAGCTTGCGCAGCAGCAACGTTTTCGAGGTCGCGCGCAAGATTGTCGCTACCCTTCTTAGTCTTCCAGGCGTGTGGGCCCTCTTTGCTGAACAGGAACTCAACCTCCTCAAGAGTCTTGCCACAAGTCTGTCCTCAGAGTTAGCTGAAGTCATGACAGAAATTCCAGATTTCCTTACCTCAGGGTAGGTGAAGAAGAACTGGACGGCAGCCATGAAGCAGAGGATTCCGAAAACGAGGAAAAGTCCCCATCTAATGTTGACAAACGCGGGTGGGATGAACAGTCCAATAGCGAAATTGAAAAGCCAGTTGCCAATAGCTGCGATACCCATTCCGGAAGCACGGGTTTCGAGTGACCAGACCTCAGCGGCGTAGACCCAGCAAATGGGCGCGAGGGTAAGAGCGTAGAACTAAGATGCGGAATTAGTGTGGTTCATGTTCAGCTCGTAGAGATACTTACGATAATCAAAAGATACGAGAACGCGATAACGGTGTACGCCGGCGATCCGGTGACCCTCATGACAACATTCGCGTCGCCACCAACACCCTCAGGGACATACGTGGAGAACCCGCCGAGCATTCCAGCTACGACCAGATGGCATATGCCCATCGCAATGGCTCCCCAAACCAGAAGTGTTCGCCGGCCGATCTTGTCGACGAAAAAGAACATGATGGACGAGAAGACGATGAACAACGCGTACTGCACACCGGAGGAGATAAGCTTGGTGTTGCCTGTAAGACCAGCCATGGCAAAGATGTATACGACGTAGTAAGTCATGACCTGAGAACTGTTAGCAGGACGGTACTACGCGAAGTATGCTCAACATACATTAGCACCCGAAAGTTGCTGCCAGGCCTGGACGGAGAAACCGGCAAGAGTCCGTTTCCACATGCCGTTGTAGACAAACTTTCGCCATCCTTGGGGAGCTAAACGTTCTGCAGTGAGAGCAGTTACGATCTCCTCGTATTCGGCGATGACGTAGGGATCTTCGATGTTGCCGTCGGCTTGGATGGAGGCCAGGATGTGGATTGCTTCTTCTGTGCGGTCGACCTTCGCGAGCCATCGTGGAGACTCTGGGAGGAATGGGAGACCGATCATGAACATGACGCAGGGGACGTATTGAATTCCCCAGGCCGTGCGGAATGAAGCTGACTCGCCAGGGATGAAAGTACATCCGTAACCTATGAAGTACCTGCGATCTGTTGGCTTGGGCTTGTTTCGTGTGTTCAGTGTACTTACATGATAAGAATACCCCACTCAATAGCCAGCTGTTGAATAATAATGATGGCACCACGCTGCGAGTGCTTGGAAATTTCGGCGAGGTAGACAGGGACCTGAGACGAAGTGATACCGACAGTGACTCCATTCAATACACGACCAGCGATAAGCATGCCGCGACCAGTTGTAGCAACCTGCAGCGCAGTTCCGACTAGCCACCAAAGACAGGCGAACATAAGGGCATCGCGACGACCAAACTTGTCGGAGATAGGACCAGCAATAGCACTGCCAACCACTGAGCCCGCAGCAAGGGCCGCGCCAATAGCTCCCTGAACAACGCCGGTTGGATTGTCGAAGTAGGTGCTGTTCGTTGTTAGGGATCAATAGGTAAGGTGTTTGACGTCACTGCGACTTACAGATACTGGTCACTCGGAATGATGGCGCTCATCGAAGAGATATCAAACCCGAAGAGCATGCCACCCATCGTGGCAACAATTGCCAAGAAGTAGACATTGTAAATCTTAGGAAACCTTTCGAACATCTTGACCGGGACCTGTCCAGAGCCTTGGGTTGATGCAGAGATGGCAGTCGTTTGACCTGTCGATCCACAGACGTGGGGAGGGTCGAATATAAAGGTCGAGAAAGTCGGCACTACACGCCGCTGTGCTCGACGTGATAATCATATCGCTTGAAGCAGCCGTCTCCACTCGAGTCCTTGCTCCGCATGGAGACTCCATACTCGTTGGTCATAGCCCTGGACAGCCAGGTAAAATGGTTAAAATGGATTTACCGACCTAAGTATAGCGGCCGCATGCCGAGAAGCCTGCCGTCTTGACCATCGGAGAGAAACGAGATCGAGTCAGTGTCGGAGCTCGTATGATTTGTGGAAAAACGACTCTGGGGTTAGGCTGGAGGTGGAGAAAGACGCGCTCAGGCCCGGAGAGTTGTGGAGATCGCCTCACCCGCGTTGTGCATGTGTGGATGTCGTCAGTGGCATCTTAACCGAACCGGCGGCTCTTTTTGCAGACTGCCGGGATCCGACTAAGGTGGTTGCTTCGATGCGCGATGTTACATGTGACTGGAGATGTTTCCTGAGCAGGTGGTGCTTCCGACTGTTGTTGTGGGTGATTGGGCAGGAATGCGCTTGAGGGGTGGTCAGAACGTACGACGAAGCGCGATCGTTGCTCTGCTTGGCAACGCTGGCTCTACCGACTTTTACCTTGCCATCGCGATGCTCTCAATGGCGACGCATCGCAGTCGCATCGCATTGGGATGGTTGAGATGATGTGCGACAAAGGAGATGTTCTGTGGAAGCGATTTTGTCGAGGATACTGGTTTGTCACATGCGTAGGCGCATCTGATATCAGCGCAAGTTCAAGATGCCTTCTAATGATCGGAGTCGTGACGAACATCGGACTTGCTCATCGATGATCGGGCTTTCTTCCTTCAGATGTTCGCGTTTGGGCTAACCTATTGCGTCGCCCTGCGCGTCGACCAGGATTCTCACAACATGGGAATGTTGAAGCGGGACGACTCTGAAAGTCAGGCCATTCTCCATAATACGCGTACAAATCTTGCTTCGATCACAGCGCCGTGATTGCAGGTCTGGCTTACAAGCTCACACACCTAGCCAACCTACAGTGTGCGCGTAAATCAATAAAGGTTTCGAGTGCGTATTGACAACAAATTCAGCACTGCGAGCATCGTAGCAGTGATAAAAACTGCAGCAATCGCGAGTCGGTGAGAAGATCCGAGAAAATGGTCGCCATAATGTTTGGCCTTCTTGCTGCATACAACACCTATGTGTGTGATGTAACATATACTTCCCGAAAGTGTGGCGCA